GGTAATCTCGCTCAGCTGCCTTGCGCTCTGCGGCTGCCACGTAAAAAAGGATCGGATTTCGGAAAGCTGCCTCCCCGAGCGATGCAAGGTGCAGAGTGCGGTTTTGCACCAGCTCCGCCGCCAGCATGGGCTCGATGCAAGCTGCTACAGGCAGGTGGCAGACCTGAACATGTTCTCGGCGGCGCGGTGCCGCCCAGAGTACGTTCAGGTCTACCACCTTCCCAGCGGTCGCATCAAGCGCTTGCTGTCGGCGGAGTTGGTGCAAAATCGCACTCTGCAGCATCAGCGCGGGTGGCGCGGGGTGGGGCCCGCTGCGTCACCAACCAACCAGTCCCCAGGAAGTGGTCGATGGAGCCACCCATCGGAGCGAGGGTATGGTTGCACCATGTGCATGACTTGGGTAATTGGGGCTTAACTATAGTAAACCTTGACTGGGTTGGGGTAGGATTCTGGGTACTAAACCCTAATACCCTACCTAAACCCTAAACGCACGAACTTGAACCGCCAGGCTCTCAGCAACAAGTTCGTGAACTTAACCTCGATCTACTTCGTATAAAGTGTCAAGGCTACGTCCACGCCAAACCGTGAACCACCCTAAACCCTATTCCCCCACAAAAGCTACGGTACTCCCAGCCTTGAGCCTTTTCTTGTCTCAGACAGCACCAGAAAAAGTCAGGCAAATGCTCTCAACCAGTGCCTGATTCCACGTGCCCCGATCCTTTGTCTGACAGCAGAGAATTCCCGCGATTATATTCATCTGGAAGACTTTTAGCCTCCGACCCTGCCTTGTGGACCAAGCCCTAAACCCCAAACCCCAAACCCCAAACCCTAGGCCCTAGACCCTAGACCCTAAACCCTAAACCCTAAACCCTAAACCCTAAACCCTAAACTAGGGGCATGATCCCCATTGAGGTACCCAGACAGCTGAGGTGTACGGTCTCTGAATTAATTATAGAAGGATCAGATAATCTGGATCGCATGAACCTGTCATGGTCCGAGCCCAACCTCGGACAACTATACTCCCCGCAGTTTAGGGAACTGGAATCACCCTGGTTTAGGGTGTAGAATCCTTAACGAAGCACCTCTGAAAGCTCATTGGAGGAATCCCTGAAAACCCGCCCACCCTAAACACCACCCCCCCCCCCCCCCCCCCCCCCCCCAAAAAAAAAAACCCTATCCAACGAATGCGAACCTATGAATGCCACAACCCCTTCTCAAAGACCCCATCAACCCCAAGATAAACCCTATCATGAACCATATTATAGACACTACAAACCCTAGCTAGGCCCTACATGAGCGCGATTCTCGCAATGAACAACCCTAAACTGCCTAAACCATAAACTTTCTTGGACCCTAACAACGAATAAACCTACCAATGATTCTCAAAACCTTGTAAACTGAATAGACCATACACTCCTTAACCCTAAACCCTAAACCCTACGCCCTGAACCCTAAGCTTCCTGCACTCCAATAGCTAATATGGCCCTCAACCTTCCAAACCTCAAACCCTAAACCCTACACACAAAACCCAACACCCTAAACCCTACACTTCCTGAACCCTGAACCCCCCCCCCAACCCTAAACCCTAAACCTGAACCCTAAACCCTAAACCCTAAACCCTAAACCCTAAACCCTAAACCCTAAACCCTAAACCCTAAATAACTGATCTAACCCTCAACCTTCCAACCCTCCCTGCCTGAGCCAACTCAACTCTCCAGTCGCGAGGAGTCTGGAGAGGGAGGGGGGTTTAGGGTTTAGGGTGTGGGGTTTAGGGTTTAGGGTTTGGGGTTTAGGGTTTGGGGTTTGGGGTTTGGGGTTTGGGGCGCGCAGCGCAGCTTTCGAGGAGTTTTTGTTCTGGTTAGGGCTTTATAGGGTTTACAGGGTTGTTTCTTGTGGACTAAAGATAGTTTCCTTAGATGCGGTGCTTTGGGGTTCCCTTGGGCATGGTGCACGATCTCGCTCCCGAAAGAACCCTGAAGACACTAAACACCGCAACACCCCCCAAACCCCAAAATCCCCAAAACAACCTAGACCCCAAAACCCCAAAACCCCTAGACCCCAAAACCCCAGAATCCCAAAAACCCTAAATTCAACCCTATAAGTTATTATAAACCCTACCAACCCTATAAACCCCTATGAACCCCATAAGCCCTATTACCTTATCAACCCGAAACCCTACACCCCAAACCCTGAAACCCTAAAACCCTGAACCCTAAAATCCTAAAACCCTAAAGCCCGAAAACCCTAAAACCCTAAAACCCTAAAACCCTAAGACCCTAAGACACTAAGACCCTAAGACCCTAAGACCCTAAGACCCTATAACCCTAAAACCCTAAACCCTAAACCCTAAACCCCGAACCCCAAAACCCCCTCAAGCCTCTACGGGCGTCTTCTTCCGCCGGGCATCCACCAAGGGAATGAGGGCTCCCAGCCTGCTCAAAGTTTAGGGTTTAGGGTTTAGGGTTTAGGGTTTAGGGTTTAGGGTTTACGATTTAGGGCTTAGGGCTTAGAGTGTAGGGGGTTCATGGGGGGTAGGTACCCGGTTTATAGGGGTTCGTAGGGCTTCTAGGGTTTCTAGGGTTTACAGGGTTTGTAGGGCTTGTAGGGTCTATAGGGTTTACAGGATTTTTGGGGCTTGTAGGGTTTGAAGGGCTTGTAGGGTCTATAGGGTTTACCGGATTTACAGGGTCCATAGTATGTAGAGTTTAGACTTCAGGCTTCAGGGCTTGGGACTCGCGATTTACAGGGTTCGTGGGGGCCTTGGGGGGGGCGCGTTATAGTTGTCTTGAGGCTTAGAGTTTGTAGAGCCTTTGGGCCTCAGGGGCTCCAGGGCTGTAGGGGGTTTTGTGATTAGGGTTTAGGGTTTAGGGTTTCGGGGTTTGGGGTTTGGGGTTTAGGGTTGAGGGTTGAGGATTTAGGATTTAGGATTTAGGATTTAGGGTGAGGAGTGACGGGTTGTGGTGTAGAAGACCGCAGCAACCTGTACAGAAAGGGGGGGCGGGGGCTTGGAGAACCTAGGCAAGGAAAGCAGGCTAAGACTAAGACAGGGTTGTGAAGTAGGCTTTCCAGGAGTCTGTGGATCCTAAACCCAAAACCCAAAACCCCAAACCCTAAACCCAAATCCTAAACCCTAAACCCCAAACCCTAAACCCTAAGCCCTCCCTAAACCCTAAACTTCCAAACCCCAGGCCCCTCTTTTGTGTCCCCCTATGGAGCGCATCCAGCAAGGGCCCGCTGCTCAGGGCGTCTCAGGAGAGAACCGGCGCGCCGCACGCGCGGGCGATCAGCCTCGGCTGCCCAGATCCCTCGAACATGTCCTCTGAAACTTAAGAAATGACGCAATTGTTGAAGGCAAATTTGGGGTTGTGGGTTTAGGGCCCTAAACCCTAAACCCTAAACCCTAAACCCTAAACCCTAAACCCTAAACCCTAAACCCTAAACCCCTAAACCCTAACATCAATAGAAAGTGGCCATCGCAGCGCCGAGCCTCGGCGGCTTCCTGCAGCTTCGCGAGCGGCGGGCGACGACCACAGTCGTTGTAATGCTCTTAATCACCATAGCAGCTAGAATCGAGTTAGGGTTTAGGGTTTAGGGTTTAGGGTTTAGGGTTTAGGGTTTAGGGTTTAGGGTTTAGGGTTTAGGGTTTAGGGTTTAGGGTTTACGGTTTAGGGTTTAGGGTTTAGGGTTTAGGGTTCAGGGTCTAGGGTTTAGGGTTATAGCAAGATAGTAGCCCCAATCCTTAGACTGCTTAGAAAATCACGGCAGCTAGAATAGAGCTTGTCAGAAGGATAGTAGCCCTAATCACCAGATTAGAGCGCCTATAATCGCCGTAAGAATTCATCCCCACCTGCTCCGGCGGGGCTGCCATAGTCACTGAAAAAAAACAGTAGCCGAGAGGCGATTGCTCGGGGGGCTCCAACCAGCCTCGGAGACCTCCTGCATGCACAAACCCAAAGGGGTCCAAAAACCCAAAAAGGTATATACTGGGGCTTTGAAGGGGCTCCTAGATAGTAGCTTTAGGGCGAAACGGCCAAACTACGTGCTATGTAGGTACATGGACCCTTAGGGACATGAGCAGAAGCCTTGGCCTTCCTTTAGCCCAAATTAACCCTAAACCCTAAACCTTAGAACCTAAACCTAAACCCAATGCCATGCGATTACCGCTCCGGCGCGTTGAGGAGACCTCTGGGTACAGGCTGGACCCATCATGAGCCGTGCCCAATCCTAAACCCTAAACCCTAAAGCCTAAGCCCTGCACCCTAAACCCTACACCCTAAACCCCAAACCCCCACAAAGCAATTCCCACTCCTCTCCGTCCTGCGAGGACTCTCCGGGAGACCCCGGCATGACCTCAGTAGCTTCAGCAGTTGGGGGGCAGGGACGCAAGCAAACAAACCTCCAGGGAGCTGACCCAAATCCGCTTCAGTCCCAAGGCATTTTTGGGTTTAGGGTTTAGGGTTTAGGGTTTAGGGTTTAGGGTTTAGGGTTTAGGGTTTAGGAGGCTTAGAGGAGACAGAATCAAGCCGACTCTCAGAACCAATTCCCAAAGAGGCAATTGAAACCTCATCCCGAACATTCAGAGAGCCCTAAGCTTCTAATAAGCCTCTAACCCTAAACCCTAAACCCCTAAACCCCTGTTAAGCATCTTGGCGTGCTTCTCGCTTGGATGGTCCGCAGACGTCTTGCATAAACCCCTAAACCCCTAAACCCCTAAGCCCCTAAACCCCCAAACCCCCAAACCCCTCAGCCCCTCAACCCCTCAACCCCTCAACCCCTAAACTCTAAACCCCCCAATCAGCCCAAAACACCAACGGTGACCGGCCTGGGTAGCGTCGGAAGATGTCTTGACAACGCAGCTGTCCTGGCTTTCTTCACACGATGTCCACCCTCCAATCCTGCTGTCCTAAGGGTTTGGGGTTTAGGGTTTGGGGTTTAGGGTTTGGGGTTGAGGGTTTAGGGGTACTTTGTTCAGGGTAGTCTGGGCAGTCCTGGGCTCCCGCTCAGGTCTTCGGCGCCACGGAGATGCTGTCGCAGCCGCACCAGCTGCCTCCTGTCTCGTTTCGCGCTTTAGAATGCTTTAGAGGGTTCTTAAGGGTTCATGAGGGGGGGGGGGGTACTTACTTAGGGTTTAGGGTTTCGGGTTTCGGGTTTCGGGTTTAGGGTTTAGGGTTAGGGTTTAGGGGGTTCATGGGGGGTGGCAGGTACCTAGGGCAGCGATTAGGGAAGGTTGGAGAGCCCTAGGGAGTAGTTGGGAGTATTGGGGCACCATAGGTTTCATACCACCCCCTTGAACCTCCCCACCGCAAAATTCAGGGCATGGAGACTGTAGACCCTCCATCCGTGCACTCCGCTAGACAACCCCCCCTGAACCGCAAAAAAAACACGCCCAAACCCCAAAAATCCTTAGACCCTAAACCCTAAACACCCAACTTCACTCCTCAACTCCCAATCCCCTAAACCTCGTTACAATCTAGGGTGGCCCTTAAACCCCAAACCCTAAACCCTAACCATGTTCCTGAATATCATCCTCTTAAACCCAATAATAAGAGTCCCAAGGGCCTACAGGGTATCATCTTAGTAGCCCAGTAGCCATATTATGATAAGGGCACCCTTTCTTTGGGTTGGTTACTTGACAAGGGAGCCAAGAACCAGAAAAAGGGTACAGGGTTTAGGGTTTAGGGTACTACGAAGTGAAACCCTCTTCCAGGGATCTCAAGGCCGGGCTGCCAGAGTCAGCTGGTGGGCGCGGCCTTGCCAAGCCACAAGCGGCTTTCCAGAAAACAATTTTTAGGGTTAGGGTTCAGGGTTCAGGGTTCAGGGTTCAGGGTTCAGGGTTCAGGGTTTAGGGCTTAGGGTTTAGGGTTTAGGGCCTATAGGGTTTAGGGCCTATAGGGTTCAGGGTTCAGGGGTTTAGGGTTTAGGGGTTTAGGGTTTATTGTTTAGGGTTTATGGGTTTAGGGCTTATTGCTCTCCAACTCTGAGCCGTAAATCCTATGGTACGAAGCCAAAGGTCTCGAGCTTGGTTGAACTTTCAAGCCCAACATCCAACACCCTTACGGCCAGACACCCTACTAGTAGACTTGGGGTGTTCCCTATGCCCTAAACCCTACACCCTAAACCCTAAATCCTAACCCCTAACCCCTAACCCCTGAACCCGAAACCCTAAGCCCTAAATCCTAAACCCCAAACCTATGAAAGTCCCTACTACGGACTGTTCGTATAAGGGGGGGAATACCCCAACCATGGACTTTTGGACTCTAAGCCTTCCAAGCCTGATTCTCCAAGGCCCTACCCCCGTTCGCCGCCCCGTCCCCCCCAGGGTTTAGGGTTTAGGGTTTAGGGTTTAGGGTTTAGGGTGTAGGGTGTAGGGTGTAGGGTTAAGCGCGCATAAATGTCCTGTATACACCGAAATAGACCCGAAACAATAAACCCGACACCCTCGCCTAAATCCGAAAAACCCCAAACCCTAAACCCGAAACCCCAAACCCAGACCCAAAAACCCTCAAACGCCTTATAAGGTGTATATATATATATACATATGTATATATATATATAGCTAATATATATATATATAATAAAAATAGAGGGGTTGTAGAGGGGGCATAAGAGTAGGGGTCCCTTCTCGGGGTCCCCGAAAGCCTTCGAAGCCCTGGTTCTCTGGCCTCCCCTAAACCCTAAACCCTAAACCCTAAACCCTGAACCCTAAACCCTAAACCCTAAACCCTGAACCCTGAACCCTGAACCCTAAACCCTAAACCCTAAACCCTAAACCCTGAACCCTGAACCCTAAACCCTAAACCCTATAAACCCTAAACCCTGAACCCTGAACCCTGAACCCTGAACCCTGAACCCTGGCCTCCCCAGGTCCCAATCCATCAGCGGCTCAAGCAGACGAGGCTCCGCCCAGATGTCCTGCAAGCCCAAGTGCCCCACTTTAAAGAGGTCGTGTCAAAGAGGGTTTAAGGGTTTGGGGTTTAGGGTTTGGGGTTTAGGGTTTGGGGTTTGGGGTTTAGGGTTTTGGGTTTAGGGTTTAGGTTTTTTTTTTTCTGCTTTGGGGGCAAAGTTTGGGTTTCGGATTCAGGGTTAGAGCTTTCGGGTTGAGGTTTCTTGGCTTTAAGTTCTTGGAGGGTTTAGGAGGGCAGGGCTTGTCGGATTCAAGGGCTTTCGAGCCTGGTGGCTTAGGGGTCCAGGGCTTGCGTTATAGAAGCGTGTGGGCAGAGAATTTAGAGGATGTAGGGTCGGGTCCAGATGTAACACCATCATGGGGTTTGGCCACCCAAAAGTCAGACTTAACAAAGAAGATTTTGGGGACTCTGTCGGGCTTATGGAGGTTCTCAACCCCCTAAACCCTAAACCGGTTTGTAGGGCATTTATTCCAAGAGCGCTCCTGCACGGTCAGGGCGGCAATGGCTTCGACTTGGTCATACCTCTGCCAAGGAACTGTTTGGAGGGTTTATAGGGTTTATGGGGCTTACAGGGTTCCTAGAGTTTACAGGGTTTATAGGGTTTACAGGGTTTATGGGGTTTATAGGGTTCATAGGGTTCATAGGGTTTACAGGGTTCATAGGGTTACTAGGGTTTTTCTTACAGATTAGGATTTAGGGTTTAGGGTTCATAGAGTTTATAGCATCTACTCGGGTTGTTGAGCGTTCTGGGGGCCGAGGCCCGGATCCCTGGGTTGCTGTGAAGGAGCTTCAGCTGTGAGATCACCACCATATGGGGTTTCCCAAAATAGGGGTACCCCCAAAATACGATAGTCCTTATTGTAGGAAGCCCGAAACCTGCCACTCAACCTAAGTTGCTTCCCGGCAAGGTTTCTGCGAGGTCTGTGTTGAGGGCAGTATGCCCGAAGTAAGCCCCCAAACAAGGGGAACAACAATAATTAACCACAAACTCCGAAAATTAGATATAACCCTAAACCCTAAACCCTAAACCCTAAACCCTAAACCCTAAACTACAATCCTCTCCGAGTGGCTGCGCTTGACTGGCCGGCCAGTACCCGTTGCGGGCTCCGCGGCGTCGCTCGCCGGTGTTGTAGAACTCCTGAGCTCTCCCGTGTCTTCCAAAAATGCGGAATATACCCTAACCTTTACTAAGGATCCTTATTATGAACTGGGTATCTTCCTTGATTAAGAGGTGTTGTAGAATTCGTGAGCTCTTGTGGGCTTGCTTAGGGATTTTGAGGGTTTAGGGATTTAGTTGAGGGTTTAGGGTTCAGGGTTTAGGGTTCAGGGTTTAAGGTTCTAAGAGTAAGAAGATACATGGTCCCTTAGTACCGTCCCATAGTTTCTTTGAAGGGTTCTGAAGTATGGGTACCCTTACCAACTACCCGGGAGGATCTGGAGTTTAGGGTATACCTGCCATTCTCATGGCCGCTTCTAGATAGAATCAGTTTACGCTCGGCAATGGTTCCAAGATCAGTCCAGCTGCACCAATGGCATGTTCAAAGATCTCCAAAAAACATAAGACAAAAAACCTACGAGCCCCGCCCCAACCCCCAAAACTCTTCCAGAAGTTCTCCAGCTTACCGTATACCTTAAACCCGAAACGTCTGCCTCCTTCAGCCCTCCACCCGAGACCGTGCTTTTTAAAAGGTACGAAATTTCGACCCGGCGCCTGCGCCTGTTCGGGAGTCAGCCCATAGCAGGCCTTGTCCGGGCAACGTGCGGGTTTAGGCCTCATGGGGGGTCGCCCACGTATGCCCAAAACTCGGGTGTAGGATATGGAAGCTCATGCTGTAAGCAACGTTCTTTCTTCTGGCCTGAACCCTACAGCCTACACCTTAGTTAAACCCTAAACCCTAAACCCTAGACCCTACACCTCGAACCCTACACCCTACACCCTTACCCCTATACCCTAAAACGAATCCGGGGTGCACCAGTGTTCACAACCAACATCAGGTGGTGGTGCGGAAGCAGGAAGAAAAACCCGCAAATCCCAAACCCTGAACTACCTGCGCCACCCCTGGATTAGGGTTTAGGGTTTAGGCTTCAGGGTTGAGGGTTTAGGTTCTTTTCCGCAAAAAGAGTGGCTACCCATCTTCCTTGCTTCCCAGCAAAAAAACAGGCGCGAGTATGGCTCGTGAAAGCAGATAAGTCAAGGCTGTGGGTAGCCAAAGCCCTGCACCCTAAACTCTAGCCCTAAACGCTTTTAACCCTGAACCCTTCCCGTCCCCTTCCAAACCGAACACCCAAAAAACCGCAACCCCAAACCCCCAAAACCCATACGCCCTACAAAGCCTAAACCCTGAATCCAAACCCTACAATCCCTACAAGTCCTACAAACCCTACAAACCCCCCAAACCCTAAACCCCTTGAAAACCCCTAAGCCCCTAACTTTAAACCTCTAAACCCCTTCGAAACCCAGTCTTCGGGGGAAAAAAGAATGGGGCAAATCTTCCAAAACCCCTTCATAAAGGAGTATACAGTATACCCTTACTTCTACTAAGGATCCTGTTTATGAATTAGGGTTTACTACCCCCAAACCCTCACCCCTCAACCCTCAACTCTCAACCCGCAACCATCAACCCTCAACCCTAAGACCCCAAACCCTAAACCCCAGACCCTAAACCCTAAACCCTAAACCCCAGACCCCTAGATGGGGCGCTCCGAGCCGGGTGGCGGCCAGGAAGGCGCAGATCATCGTGCCCGTGCGGCCGTGGCCGCCCCAGCAGTGCCTTTGGTTGGTAGGGTTTAGGGTTTAGGGTTTAGGGGTTAGGGCTTAGGGCTTAGGGTTTAGGG